AGGGGGGGGAGAAATTAGGAGGGGGGTTGACAAAGAGAAATTAGGGGGGGGAGAGAAATTAGGAGGGGGGTGAGAAAGAGAAATTGGGAGGAGGAGAAGGAAATTGGAGCGGGAGGAGAGATTGACATTCATCACATACACACAATGCACCCCTTGCACACAGAAAAACACACAAATTACACACACAGACACACATACACAAGCAATGCAACCGTTACACACAATGCATCCCTTACACACACAGAAACACACAATGCATTCATTACACACACTCAATGCACCCCTTACACACATTCAATGCATCCCATACACAGAAACACACCTTGCAGCCCTTACACATACAAACACAATTTCACACAATGCATTCCTTACACACATATCAGGACATCCCTTACACACTCCACCCCCTGTGAACAAACTCATTGGTGGAACATGAAGGTGGACCCTGGGACCCAGACCTTGAGCTGTGTAAAGGACCCCAAAAAATGGAGCTGCTTCCCGTTCTCCCAGAACATTGATTTTTGTGACCACAGTTACAAACCGCCTCCAGAGAGCCTGTTCTGCACCAGACCAGTGGAGCCAGACTGCAGCTAGAGACCATCATCATCCTCATCTGGTTGTAAGTAGACAATCTAGTATATTATTCGTGGCACTAAGCTCTAATTTACCTCACATTAAAGAAACACTATAGTCCCCAGAACCACTTCAGCTTAATGTAGTGGTTCTGGTGTCTATAGCCTGTCCCTGCATGCCTTTTAATGTAAACACAGCGGCACTGCAGCACTGGCGTTAGTTAACATGGCAAATCATATGGATGGGGCATTGTGATGTCACATGGGGGGGGGGCGGCAAACTTTACTTTTGCCTAGGGCGGCAAAAATCCTTGCACCGGCCCTGGCTGGAGGGGGCTGTGTGAGCTGTGGCCGCACAGTGTCCCATGGTAGTTAGGGTGCCGTACAGCTCACACAAGCAAACAGCTGATAAACTGTCCGCACAGAGGAAATGTGTATGTGTGACTGTCTGCCTGTGACTGTGTGTGACTGTCTGCCTGTAACTGAGTGTGTGACTGTCTGTCTGTAACTGACTGTGTGACTGTCTGCCTGTAAATGTGTGTGTGGGGCTGCAGGGATTTTGTAGAAGGGGGCGGGGGTTTTGTATTGGGACAGGAGTCTTTATAAGGGGGGATAAGCAGGGGATTTGTGGAAGGGGGTTGCGGGGGTTTTGTAGACGGGGCAGTACAGGATTGGTAGAAGGGGCAGGACAGAGGTTTTGTAGGCGGGGCGGGGCAGGACAAGGGTTTTGTAGGAGGGGCTGACAGCGGTTTTGCAAAGTTTACAAATTGTAAAAAAAAAAGAAAGAAAACCTTTAACAATTTTTACAGGTTTTTTTTTTTTTGGGTGGGGGGTGGGGGGTGCCAAGCACAGGATCCGCCCCGGGTGCCAAATGCTCTAGGTACGCCCCTGAACCCACTTGATGTTTCGCTTATGGTTATCTACTTTACTATTATTACGCTAATCTTGTTTGTAATATTATCGAAGCTTAAATAATATAAAACAAGGCAGTCACTCATAGGAGATGTTGCATTGTGTTAACATGACCTCAAGCTGTATGAAAAACGTACATCCCCTCATCTCTATTCTGTACCCCATATAACAAATGTCTCAATAAAAGAAAGATTGACAAAAAAACAAAAAAACATTATTTAGGTCACTGACACACCCTTGCCCCCCTTAAAAAGTTATAAACTTACCTTTATTCCAGCACCAAACAGGTCCACCGGCACTGGTTTAGCCCACGCCCGCCTGGCTGCGATCATCAGAATTGACAATCTCAGCCTTTCCAATGCTTTCTCATAGGAAAGCATTGGAAAGCTAATGCACACGCACGCAAAATGCTGCTTGCGCCAATTAGCCTCTCCTCATAGAGATGTATTGAATCAATCCCCATCTCTGTGGGAAAAGTTCAGTGCCTCCATGCAGAGAATGCAGACACTGAACGTCAGTGCTGCACATTGTCTATCACTGACCCAGGAACAACATCTAGTAGCCGTCTGAGTGTCTGCCACTGGTGGTGTTCCTAGTCAACAATGTAAACACTGCCTTTTCTCTGAAAAGGCAATGTTTACATTAAAATGCCTGCAGGGACTGACTATACACACCAGAACAACTATATTAAGCTGTTGTTGTTCTGGTGACTATACTGTCCATTTAAGATGGTTTGTCATTTTTAGCACATGATTAGTAAGTCAAGACCCAAAATGTGGATGCCTACATACCGCATTCAAAAACATTGCCATGTTCCACAAATACTCCCTTATACATACTGTCATGCCACACAAACACACATAAATACTACCCTATTTACCAGAAAAAACAAAACATGTTTAAAATACTCTGAATCTACACATCCTAATACACACACATATTAATTTACACCAGGGCTCACAATGAATATACACACAGAAGCATACATCCACTTTACATGCACATATAAGAATATACACTTACACATATATCGGTCTGCAAGGGGCCCAAGGCACTGTCAGTGCATCCCGGCCTATTATATATAAATGTGCAGACTAAGCTTCACTGTATTGATCTCTAATTACCTGTTTATTTTGTTTTATGCTGTTTAACAGTGCAAAATGATATAGTTGTACCATCCATGCACAACAAAAATAAGGAACATGTTAAAACATGTTGATTCCTACTATATTGATATATATATATATGATATTGTTCAAATTCATTCTTGAATATAATCCTTTAAGAGCCCTTCAAATAATTTCCCAACCACGGGTCTGCATTTTGCAGTTTGAGCTCTTGAACTCTTTTTAAATATAGGCACTTCATCTGCTTTTCACCAATTCTCTAGAACAATTACTGAAAGATTAAAACTTGTGGTATGGGTATTTTGATACTAAGCCTCCTATGTACCCCTGGATGAATGCCATCTAGCCCTGAGGCTTTGTTTACATAAACTTTATTTAATTGCTCTACCACATTTTCCTCTGTTAACCAATCATCTGTTTGCTGTTTGCTAGGGACTTGCAAATTTACAGTTGTAGATTATTCTTTGTTATATATTGACGAAGTACAAATACTTCAGATTTCTGCTTTGTCCTGAAACTCCTTTACCAACACATCAATCTTAGATTCCAGTTTACCAACACTTTAACTCTTAACCTTTTTAATATTAACCCCTTCGTGACGAGTGACGGACTAGCACATAAGGTTTGCAAAATATACTGTGCAAACTCACTTTGTGTGTCAAAAAGGCAAAATAAACACTTATTACTACTACACTTGGTACAAGCGAGCGGAAAAATTATCCAACTAAGGGTCAAAATATGCCTTTTGAAATACCCTGGGATGTCTTCTTTAAGAAATGATATGCCGGGGGGCGGGGCCTTACAAGGATGTGTCTGAGGGGAGCTCCACACACAAACACTACAAAAACGGTAAAAGACAGCAGAGCAAAAAGCGCAACCGAGTCTACAGGGCTCATACTCGAATCGCCCATCGAAAGGGAGACTCCAGCATAATGGGAGACTCACACATTGCAGCCTACTCGGACAGCGGATCGCATGGAAGGGGGACGCGACCGGTCTCCCAACCAATCACTGTAAGAGCACCACAACAGTCCCACCTGGGGGAGCAGCGATCACGAAACATAAGCGACACATCGGCCCCCCCAGGATACTCTTTATCGCCAAGCCAAAACAACAATGGCGACTGCAGTAGAGGTGACACGGATATCTGACTGGGAAGCAAGATTCAACGCAGCATTTTACAACATCTGCGCTGCGTTCTGGTGCCGGATTGAATCCCGTGCAGCACAGATGCAGCCATCGCAGAACCATCTGGTAAGATACCAGCAGACAACCCGACCCATGCAGCAGTTCTTAAAACCACACATCAGGGAAACACGGTCAAGCTCCCAACAGCCAAGCCACGTTTATACCCCGTGAAGTGGGCTGAATACAGTACGGGACAAACTAGCTAGTGCCTGGCGCACATCACTACATCATCAGACTGTTGCTGCAGGGGAGGGCAAGAGGTTTTTACCACATTATTTAATTTCAGTTTTGTTAATCTAATGTTGTCTCTTACTCATCTCTCCATCTAGTAATAATGTGCGCTCAGACCTAAGCTATCTGGGGATATGTTGCATGTCAGTATTTTATGTAATAAATGTAACCTTGTGTATTTTATTGTATTTTACTGTCTTTTTACTGCCATGTGCTTAATGGAGTTTTGCCTCGGTCCTTGGAGATAATTGAATTACTTCTCAATTATCTCCAGGATAGAAGACTCTGTGGAACTGGTTTTGGACAGAAAAGCCATGCTTCATTTGGTCACAAAGGACTTCGATCTATCTTTTGAACCAATGGACCAATTTGGATGATTTTGACATATGTTTGTATTTGGAGTATGCTGATTCAAAAAATGTAAGTGTGAATGTGAATGTGATGCATACTTTTAAAGTTATGAATAATGTGGAAAAACTGTATTTCTCTGCCTGTGCTAATTACATTACCCATTGTGTAAGGTAATTGTATCACAGGCAGAGGGGAGGATTTTGTGTGGGGGTGTCTGAGTGTATTGTACGTGTTTATTGGTTGTTTTCAAAAACCCTGTGGGCAGTACTATGTTTGTGGATTGTGAATAAAAGAGGCTGTATGTGCCAGTACAGTCAGTTCTGCTTGAGCTTAAAACGAAGTGTCGTCTCATTATTGGGGGGATTGGATTGTATGCGGATTGCCAGGAGTGTAAGCTAATTGTATGCTTTTCCTGTTCAGCTGCTTACAGCATTCATATGCTTGAGAGCATTCATATGCTTCTCCAGTTCGGTGGTTGAGGTGTCTGCTGCAGTGCAGGAAGCGCTAGGAGCATCCTTCAACAGAGGTACCCAGTCGGGGTGCCAGGTGATCCGTTACGTAGAGTTTACCATAACCCACTCACTAAACCCAGCAGTTATCCCACTCTGCATATGCATTAATACTGGTTTATCACTGTCTTATCACGTTGTTCTCCGCACTGTTTTATTACTATTGTTTTACCGGTGATATCTCGCTGCAGCCCCGGACCCCAGTGACCACACATGCTATCACGATTAACTCCTGTATATAATTAATAATTGTGCGGGTTTGGCATGTCACACGTTCCCCTTTATCTCAACGATTTAACTAGCTTACTGTGGCACGACACGCCTGCATAACGAGCTTATTCTAACCAGTACCACGTGCCCAGTAGCATTTACTCATTAAAGGCATACCACAACTGAAACGCGCTAATGTGTTAGGCATAAGTCATACTGTGTATTGCTAATACTGCCATGAAAGACCAAAGGCGATATTTACCAGTTATGTAGTATTTTTCTCTTGTTCGTTTCTATGCATCACTGTATCGACTAGCCAGTTATTCCTAGCATAGAATACTCACACTTACCTAGTCTAGCAAATCGTATTCATAAACACCTGCCTAGAGAGATTTGCTCTTGTATTTTATCCTCAGACTTGATTCTAGACAGATACACTCAGCATGTTATCAACCTCACATAAATGTTTAGCCTGTTTACTTTACATAAAAAAAATGAGACAGTATGCTCAAGAGTTAATGTTATCTGCATTGTTGAAAAGTGTATATTTGCTATTACTCCTTTCTGTACCGAATTGCACAACGTCTCAATAAAACAAAGATTGACAAAAAGAAATGGTATGCCTTTATGGGGCATTTGGATTATAAAGCCTGGTAAAATACTTTAAAATGGGACATGGGCACAGCGTAAAAATTTTACGGAATGGCTGTTTCTCAAGTGTGCCCCTCCGATGTCCACATATACCTGGTAAAGGTACATACGGGGGTATTGCTGTACTCAGCCGACATAGCTGAGCAACATATGAAGTATTATACAGTCGTAGCACACATATGATTTGCAAAATATACTATGCAAACTCACTTTGTGTGTCAAAAAGGCAGAAAAAATGCTTATTACCACTACACTTGGTACAAGCTAGCGGAAAAATTATCCCATGCTAACGTTTAAAATATCCCTTTTCAAGTATCCTGGG